AGAAGGCAATGCACGCACTCCCCCGCCCCTGCACACGCAATCCCCTCCACCCCCTCCTGCCCCCCCCTCACCTGCACTGCGCCTCCCAGCTGATTTTCAACTGGTTTGAGGCCTTTGTTGGCCTCCCAGAGGCTTGAGGAAAACTTCTGCAGCCTTTTGCAGTCCAAAAAATGGGCCCATTTCGTCACTTCTGGTATTTCCGGAAATACAGGAAGTGATGAAATGGGCCTATTTTTCAGCCTGCAAAGGCTTTCCTCAAGCCTCTGGGAGGCCAAAAAAGGCCTCAAGCAGGTCGAAAATCAGCTGGGAGGCACACGCATGCACAGTGAGGTAAGTCTGCCTGCAGCTCGCATGCCGGCACAAATGGCTCTGCGTGCCACCATGCACGCCACAGGTTCACCATCACAGCACTACTACATAAAAAGAGAGCAAATACCACTCCCTTCTTGCATTAATTATGTTACATAGTTTGGTAATGAAAGAAAACAACCAAATTTAAAGAGCATTAAGGACCCCATATTTTTGAAAAAGGACATCCATTGAAACAGTACGTGTTTTCCTCTAATTCAAATATTTCCTTAACCCTGTTTTTAGTTTCTAGAAACTCACATCCCCTTGAAATAGCTAGAAATGAAAGATGTTGATAAAATGAAATATGCAGTGATCTCCTCAGACCCATAACTTATTTAAAGCTTCACTGGTAGCTTTCCTACATATGGTAGATGTTTCTATTTCAGCTGATAAGAGATAGTTTTTAATATTGTACAAGTGTCACAGTCTGCTCAGTTTGGCACATTAAAAATCAGTAGCATTGTCTACTAGAACACTGTAAAGTATAAACCAAATTTGTCCAAACACCAGTAGTTTCAGTTGGTAGAAATACTGATGGACAAGTTCATTTATTCTTAGGCAGTGATATTTTCAGAGAGTCTCGCCTAGTCGCAGAACCCAAATTATTAGCATGTTAATAACTGACAGTTTTGATGGAATCAAGGCCATGATGCATTTTTCCCTATTTATGATTACTCAACATTTTTATTGTTTTAATCCCAGTTATATATTATATTATAGCACAAAATCAAGCAAGTGAAAGACAGCTGCACCTATTTCTATTCATATATTTGTACAAGACTGATTTTCCTTAATACGATCAAGCTATTTACCTTCAACTTTGCATGATTTTTAAACTAACATACTGGCACAAATATGAAGCAACGATTTTAAAAACAGATATCATACAAATGATGCACTTCTATGCTGTAATATCATGATGTTTGATGGAAGTATAAATTGCATCATCTGTGCTATGACACCAAGATGCACATACCGGCATTATCCTTTGCCACTTCATTGTCTTCCCTATGGATACCTATACATATTTGACTTTTTTGATGGGGGAAGAATACTTTCTACCATGTTGAATCTTCTGTAGGATTTTCATGTTTTATTCACCAATCAAGTTCATGATATTTTCATATATAATAGCAGCATGTGACTATGAAATTCTTATAAGTCAAAGATGTAAAGTAACTGTAAGTCTGTCATTCGTGTGTATTACCACTGTTCTTACATTAAAATCTCTACAGTATTTACTGTATATCCCAATTTGCAAACCAATTTATACAAAATGAGTCTTTGATATTAATAGAGGTAGTTCTCAACTTATTAGTTCATTTAGTGACTGTTCAAAGTTACAACAACCCTGGAAAAAGTGACTTATGATACTTTTTCACACTTACGACTATTGCAGCATCCCATGGTCACATGATCAAAATTGATGCTTGGCAACTGGTTCACATTTATGATGTTGCAGTGTCCCAGGGTCATGTGATCAGCTTTTGTGACCATATTTTCAGAATGTTTTTTAGTGTACAATTGAAATCTGACTTAAAGCTATTTTTCCATGTTCTGTAATCTGTGGCAATATGGAAGGCTTATGTTTGTTTAGTACTTGAAGAGTGCTAATCATGTTTTTCTCAATAGTGATATTTTTTTTCAAGGCTTAACAGAGTTCTTCCAATCTTTTCAAACAGAATTTATTTCATAGTCTGTTTTCAAATTAAATGAATAATTAATCACCAACATAAAGAAGGTAAATGCATTTTAGATTGTACCAACATTAGCATACTTTCTAAATCATACCAAAGGTCCCACTAAATTGCCCCTGTATACTGAATATAATTCAGAGATTCATATTTTAAGGATTCTAAGAAATTAGGATAGATACAAATACTGGTAAAAATAATCGGACTATGAAATATATCTGAAAAGACTGAAAAAACTCTGTTAAGCCTTGAAAAAATCACTATTGAGAAAAGCATGGCACTCCGTGTACAAAAAAATTACCCCTTCTATATTGCCAGATTACAGAGCATGAAAAAATATCTTTGTCAGATATCAATTACACACTAAGAAAAACATTCTAACAATAAGATCAGACTAGTAGTGGAGAGTAGAGAAGTCGGCTTGATGACCTAAATAGTTCCTTCCAACTGCTATATTTTTAACTTGTTTATTACTAATTATTGTGCCAGGCTTTTTTATGAAAGCACAAAGAATAAAAATGTTTCATAACAGGTTTAGCCTGGAAAGTTTGCAGTGTAACACCTTGAGCAACAATATTTTATTAATATGCTTGACAGTTATGAAGCAAGTGTGTAGAAGAAGCTAATTATTATTTTTTCTTCTTCCTGTTAATGACCCCATAATCCCTTGCATGGGTTGGAGTCAGGGCAACTGAATGGAGCTGAGTGTTTACTGGCCGGATGCCAGGTGAGAGAAATATCTGCGGCTAGCTAGGATCGAACCCACAGCCTCCTGATTGTGAGGCAAGAGCTCCACCTCCAAGCCACTGCATCACTCCAAAGCTAATTTATATATGTGCAAAAATTAAGTGGTCCAGGCACCTACTCAGCTAGCCATTCTATTTAATTGGTTTTACCAAACTGAACCAGTTTCAATCTATCTAAACCATTATTTTCTATGAATATTACTTGATCAAAATGTCTTTTAATGTCTAAAGTCTGAAAAGCCTGTTTTGTTTGGATTCGGAAAACCAGAACATGGTGTCCACCAGCGCAACCAGTTGCGAAGCCTAACAACCAATTCCACGAGAATTGGAGAGAAACAACATCTCGCGAGAACAATAACAAGTCGGCAGAGATCCACCAGCTCTTCCGTTTCCCCCCGCCCCCTTTTTTTTCCGGCCTAACCAACGCGGCCTCAAAAGCCGCGGCAACGCAGCGCCAGAGCCCGTCCCGCCAGACGCCTTTCCTTCCTCGCTCACCTTTTCCTCAGTGCAGGACACGATGATGGAGGGGTATTTGCGGCTTAGCCACCGGAAAAATGCCGGGACCCCCATTAGTCGCCCCGGACCCTTGGATGCGCAGACCTTTCCGTGACAAAAACCGGCGAAGAAAGATGTCCGGGTCACCGGATAACCTCTAGCACTATGGGTAAAGGAGGGAACTGCGGACCGCACCAGTGACGTCACCAATGACGTAACTTCAACTCTCTTGCTCCAAGTGAACGGAAAAGCGGTTTCAGTTTCGAATGGCTGCTGGAGGAACCGAGTGGTCTCGCGGCAGGAAAAGGCGGGAGAATAAGCAGGGCTGTGTTGGATACTCATTGATACTTAGTCAATCTAACGAGTGTGATATTGGCCAGAGGACGTTTCGGGGGTAAAGCCAGCATATCCGTCATTTTATTTGTGCTCTATTATTTGACTTGGTTCAAAAACTTTTTCCCCCCAATTTTACCAGCTGGTTTCCCGCTCCCTCCATACATCTAAATTTGGCATGTTGAACTCCGTATTTGAAGTTATAAGCCACTAGATTGCACCATTGGTCAATCCGACGGCCCGCAAGTGAACAGACTTTCTTTACCCATCATCGGAATTTTGTGATACGGAGGTTCCACGCACCTGGCATGGAACTGGGTTAGAAGGTTGCTGTATTGTGTGTTCATTGAAAGAATCCAATTTAGTGATAAAGCTTTTTTTTTTTTTTTTGGATACTCAAGATCTGTATCGGAATCTCCCCTGGCTGGAGCTGTAGAGATAGCTTTGCTAGCAATTTTGGTGGACCAGAGACCACCAAATTAATATGGTGCCCTTCCTTTCCATTATTTTTATGTGATTGTAGTGGGCAGGCAGACATTGGGCACACAATGGGTCCATTTGATCAAACAGTTAATCAAATTCATTTAAGGGAAGAATACATAACTATCCATATAATTCCTCCATTGCAGGGCACAATCTCATTTGCACATCTTATTTTGTGAGGATTTACATGTTATATATACAATAAAATGTTGTGATTAGTCTGTCAGCGTTCAGGCAGTTGCCCTAATTAGAGTAACCTGAAATGTCATGTGACCACAAGGTCAGGGGCAGATTTTGCAACTTCGGAACCTGGTCGTAAGAATCTGGAGGTGTCTGTCATGTTTGAATGGTCACTAAGCAATTGGTCATAAATCAAGGACAACTTGTATCTACTTTATTCCATCCAGTGGAGGCGAATGTCTTACAGCCCTTAATATAATACTTCAATGTGACATGTTTGCAAAACAATTCAAAGACAAAAATGAGACCAAACTGTTCTGTGACTCAAAGGCCAGTCCTGAGTGAGACACTTAGTACCTCAGAATGAATTGCTGGGTCAAAACAAAACTTTTTTGACTGTGAAGATCCTGTTTATTTCAATGTGCAAAGATTATTTAATGATCGTTATCAATTTCAAAATAGAAAGATTGTGAAAACAGTTTCTTCCAAGTTTTCAGGTACATTTTATTGGGGATATAAAAAGACAGCAAATATAATATCTTGCATCATTTATGATAAACTAAAAGTAAGATACATTTACAAATCTGATTTCTGAAATAATATGCTTTACTTCTAAAAAATAGCTATAGAGCTAAGCCTGAAATGCCATTGTTCATACAATCGTTCATTTTGTGACGCTCTCCCCTGGCCCTCTTAATCATGCTTTGCTTTTTTTTGCAACTATTTTCATAACTAAAAGCTTCCTTCCTGATGTAAACAGTAGTGGATGGTTAAAGCTACAAATACAAACAAGGTCCCAGTCTAATCAGTTGCTTTTTATTTAATGCAAAATTCATAATAGCATTAATAAACATCATGGTTGCTTTGTCTTGAACTGAATTCATTAGTCTGATGGCCATTCAAGCATAAGAACACACTTTTCAACCAAGCAACTTGGATCAAGGAACAGGTATAGGAGGGAATATATAAATTAAAGGCCTACAATTTTCCAGCTCCAAAATTACTCTCCCCCTTGCTTCTGTGTACTTCAAATTTCAAATGTGTTTCAAATCCAGGTATAAATCTTAGACTGTTGCAGTTTTGGTGCTCTTAGCTTGGTTTTCAAGAATAATATTACAATCATTCATAAACATATTGGTTGAAAGTAGGCTGACAGGATAATTTGGTGTGAAGAAGTGGCTATGGTAAGGTACATAAAAATGCCACCAGGATATCCAATCCAGATTGACCTTTTCTGAAACCACTTTCATCCTGAAAAATTGCTACTGGCTTTTTATCATTCGTTTGTAAATGAGTATCAAGTTAGTCATAGAAATCACTGAATCCATCTTCTTGTGAACACTGTTGCTGAGGGCGTAGGGCTGCTTCAATATCAGAATTGCTGTCATCAGACTCACCCCAAAAAGCTGGATTGGGAGACAGATGGGGAAAGAAATGACAAGGCATTTAATGTCAACATACGAAATCAGCAGGACTCACTGCCGTAGCAGAGTGAGGAAAATCTCAGGGATGATTCACACTCTGGTCAGCACTTCTTTATTGTCCTACCATCGGGCAGGAGATATAGAGACATAGCCAGTCATACTAACAGGCTGAAGAACACTTTTTATCTGTGGACTGTCAGACTCCTGAATGCAACATAACATCATAACTATGTAGTATGATAGACTTGCAGGGCCGGCGCAACATGCATCATGTTCACATTGATGCAATATAATGTAATGTTATGCACATATAGAGTATAGAGCAGTGGTGACTAACCTTTTTGGGCTCCTGTGCCAAAAATTGTGCATGTGTGCACTCGCTTGCCAGCACCCAGAAGACAGTGCGCCTCCCCACACCCCCTGTGCATGTGCGCGCAATCCCCCCCTTAACTGCACTGTGCCTCACAGCTGTTTTTTGGCCAGTTTGAGGCCTTTTTCGGCTCCCAAAGGCTTGAAAAAAGCCTCTGCAGGCTTTGCAGGCGGAATAATAAGCCCGTTCGTCACTTTTGGTATTACAGGAAGTGATGAAATGGGCCTATTATTCAGCCTGCAAAACCTGCAGAGGCTTTTTTCAAGCCTCTGGGAGCCGAAAAAGGCCTCAAACCAGCCAAAAATCAGCTATGAGACTCACGCATGCGCAGTGAGGTAAGTTTACCTGCAACTCGCATGCTGGCACAAATGGCTCTGCATGCCACCTGTGGCACACGTGCCATAGATTCGCCATCACGGGTATAGAGGATTGTGTTAATACGATTTACTGGGTTAGGGATTTTCTTTCTCTGAGTTATTGAGATGTGTTGGGGGGGTGCACTAAGGGAGCCTCAGCCAATTTCATTGTACACATGCATTGACAATAAAGGTTTATTATTAACATAACCAATGATTTATATTATTTAGGATGTTAAGAACTTTCAAAGAATGACAACTAGATAAGAGTATAAATATTAAATACTGTATGAACCCTATTTAACTGTAATCAGAGCCATAGAAGTTTTCCTTCCATTGGTGTATGGACTGGACTTGGTCCATCTGATTCATCATCCTCATCTAAGAGATTGTGCAATTATCACCTTTATGAAACCTTTTTTTCTGGCTCATCTTTTTTTAAGGAAAAAGATAGGGAAAACAAGTTTCTTGACAAATGAAGGTGAAAAATGAAGACCTGGAGTTAGACAGTTATCATATGTAAAATTTTAAAGCTAAAAATACAAGAGAACCTCAGACTTAGACTTATTACTCCTAAAGCAGCAGAAAGTACAAGAAATTTTGGGCAATAAAAACCTCAGGAATCACTACTCATTAGCATTTGGTATACAAAGATGGTATCCACATTATCATTGACAAAGCTAAAGAGGTTCTTTTGCTTATGATAGAGGAAGACAATCTGTAGGCCCAGAGCCACCTGAATCCTCCAATCCTGATCTGCACTTTCAGGAATCCCACTATTGTTGAAAACTAAAATATGAATGATCTATCGCCACTTTATAAAGTTTTGAATAATCAAATAAAAGCTGGAATCAACATATTTAAGGTAGTGCAATCACTGCCTGAATGGTATATATTCTGCTGCTTGTCTTCAAAAAGGCTTTTGTAGCACTAAAAATGCTGCAGAAATCACTGGAATCAAGCACTTTCCTTATAATTAATGGCTACTTAGGGAGCAAGAAACCTGTTGCTCTTCAGATGTTGGATTCAGGCCTCTATCAATCTCAGTTAATAAAGGCCTCTGGTCAAGAATAATGAAAATCCAGCAATATCTGGAGGGCTCACATCCAAATTAACAGAGTAAGGATTTACAATATAGAGATAAAACAGATGGCCACAGGTTAATTTTGTATATTACCGGCAGGGGAAAGTGCTTTTCATGTAATGTGTAATATGTGTGGAAGTCATTGACAAAGCAACAGCAGCATCTTCAGGTTCTCACTATTTTAATCAAAATTATGAAAGGAGGTTGCAGTGAAAGGCCAGCCATTGGGGGGAAGGCATACGATATTGAGATGCATATAGAAAAGAAATAACAGAATAATGGAGTTTGAAAGGACCTTGGAGGTCTTCTAGTCCAACCTCCTGCTCAAGCAGGAAACCCTATACCATTTCAGACAAATATCCAATCTCTTCTTTAAAATCTCCAGTGTTGGAGCACCCACAACCATAAGTCATTCCACTGATTAATTGTTATAACTATCAGGAACTGTCCGTCCATCACTTTTTGTCCTCCCTTCAGGTGTTTGGAAAAATAGGTTGACCCCTTCTTTGTGGCAGCCCCTTAGATATTGGAACACTGATATCATGTCACCACTAGTTCTTCTTTTCATTAAATTAGACATACCCAATTCCTGCAATGGTTCGTACGTTTTAGTCTCCAGTCCGCTAAGTGGTGGAGCTTGCATAACAATGTTGCTTACATCATCACTTTGATCCCATTTACTCCTCTCTGCAAATGCCACAGGTCTGAAGATAACTATTAGCCCCCTTTTAACATTCCTTTAATAGGCATGATCACAAAAAAAAAACTTAGTTTGTAAATAAGCTAGTTTGATGTAGTGGTTAAAGGGATCTGACTAGGAAGTAGGAGATTGCTTTTCTAGTTCCAGCAGTCACTCTCTCTTGGCCCCAAAAGAAGAAAAAGACCATTTTTGAAAATATTGCCAAGAAAACTTGGGAATAACAAGGGCTTGCTCTGGTAGTCCTCAAAAGTCAATACTGACTTAAGGGCACAAATTTATTTGAGGGCAAAATTGCTGAGTATTGTTTCATTCCTTACAGGCTTCTTAGAACCAAGATGCTACTAGATGGACTACATGAGTCCAAGCAAGCTTCTCTATTGCTAGAAAAGGGGGAAAAAGTCTTTAATTGTGTTAGGTGACGACAACTGATAATATCCTTACCTTTAGATTTTATTGTAGATATTCCTCTTTGATTTTCATCTCTGTAAAAAAAGAAATATATATCAGTGCTCATTAACAGGTGGACAGGTGGATATATTCTGCACAGTAACAAGTGGACAGGTGGACATATTCATATATAACTTAAAATCAGAATGAATTCTAAGAACAGTGGACTAAAACCTTCAGAATTCAGTTTTAACCAAAGCCAACAATATTTGTATTTCACCATTTAAGGTTTTTCAGTTTCCAGACCATTTTTGCCATTTTCTCTGGATTAAGGTTTTTATACATTTTTGTGTATATTTATACAGAATATCCAGCATGCAATCAATATCATACTCCAGAAAAACAACACTATGAACAACATTTTTAAAAATTAGTGAAGAAACATGAGCTTGAAAATAGTTTAATAAAAGTATACATATTTATAGAAAATTACTAGCTTGGGAAAAATAAATTTCCACTGAAAGTAAGTTCTATCTATAGAATATTCAACAAAAGTCACTATGTATTACAGAAACGCTTTCAATTGTGTTGATCACATCAAGCTGTAGAATGTGCTTAGAAAAATGGGAATCCCAGAACACTCATTGTCCTCGGGTGAAACCTATGTACAACTGAAGATGTTATAGTCTTATGAGAACAGAGTGGCTCTATACTCTCCCTTTATTTATTAAACATATATGCTGTATATTTATTATGGGAAGTCTACTAGTAAAAGTCAGAGTACAGTGAAAAAATGGTACTAAAATTAAATTTGAAGGAGACTAAACTAGTAACAACAGGTAGAGCTGCCAGTTTTTGAATATACAGTGAAAATACTGAAATGGTGGAACCAACTACCAATACAATGGAACAAGCAGTCAAAAAAGAGTAAACTTTTTGGCTGCTTGTTCCATTGTATTGATAGTGCAACAACAGTCATCAAGGCCTTGGAAAATATATTAAACTACAAGGATGTGTGTATCTTACAATGATCACATTTGTGCAAGCAATGGTATTCTCTGCAAAACTCAATGGAAGTGAAACTTGGACTTTAAAGAATCAGAGTAGAAGAGTATTGATGCTTTTGAATGTTGATGTGGGAGAAAGCTTCTATAAATTCGGTGGCCAGCCAGGACAATAAACAAAAGAAGAATTGAACAAATCAACTCAGAATTCTCACTAGAGGTACAAATGACCAGGTTCAAATTATCCTACTGTGGATATACTTTACTAAGACCTAACTCTCAGGAGAAGGTCTAATATTAGAAAAGCTAGAAGGAAAGAGAACAGGACGAGTAAGTTGGATGGACATGGACTCATTTACAGAGCATTGTTGGAAGACCTAAAAGTTCAGGTTAGGGACAGATTATCATGGGGAAAAATCTGATTAAGTGTTCAGATGGCCATAACACTATAATTATGAAAGAGTGTCCAACTGAAATAACTTATTGTTCTTTTTCAAGATTTCCACAGAACTGCTATAAGCTTGTTGAAAGAAATGTCACATACTGGATATTTACATAAATCCTATTTACATAAATCCTAGTTGGGAAGCTAAATGAATCCAGAAATAAAGAGGGCTTGAATAAGGAATTGATTCCTACTCAAGCCACTCAAAAGGATTTATCTGCCTACTATTGCTTTTCAATAAAGAACATTATTTCATAATGCATTTTATTGTTAAAAAGTTTAAGACATATTTCCTTTATGAATTACTCCACTGTCTATAGTTGTGCTATGTGAATAAATACTCATTTTTTTCAGTTTTGAATCTTCTACTATTAATGCATAATGCACAAGCAAAAATACAAAAAGCAGGGGTTTATTTATCTTAAGTTAACTGCAGGTACTCCATGGACCTCATTTACCCCTTTTGCAAGCCCCCAAGTAAGACAAACCAACAGTTTTAGATATTGGGGGGGGGGTGTTTTTGTATTGGTTAAGTGTGGGGAGAAAATTGAAAATATTACTAATTTCCAAATCTTTGAATGATCTGCCAGAACATGCCAGTAAGTTTCAATGTTACCATATCTCTTTCAATAATTCTTATATCGACATTTCTGCTAAAGAAATTGGAGTATAACACCATCAGAGCATTAGTTTCATAAACTTTCTTTTCTTTTAAGAACTTAAGGACCTCAACGGTTTTTGCATCCATAAAGCATTCCTTGTTTTATCACCAACAATCTATACACATAAGTATAATTATAAAGTTTGCACTTTAAAAGTCTGACATTGACATTGCCCCCTTAGAATTTTCCTCTAGTTCAAGTATTAGTGCACACAATTGAGAAAAATTATATTTAAAGTCCAAGATAATTCATTTATGATCAATCTTGAAGGATTATTTAACCCTTACCTCATTCTCTAATTTGGAGCTGATGTTGATGAACAAAGCCATTGTCTTTCTAAAATGAATTTCAAAATTCACTACCTCTCCATATTTTAATATGTCTTCAATGATCAAAGGGAAAAGCTTATGTACCTTAAGCAGTATTAAGGCAATGTCATCTGCAAAGTCATTCATCCACTTCTATCTATGAGGCTATTACTTTTATCAGTGTTTTGAACTGTGCTGTAGTTTCAGTAGTAATTGAGATAGGACTAGTGCCACAATAATCTTTGGTCTTAAAGGAAAGGCTTAAAGGTAAAGAATAATAAGAGCAACAACTGTCTCGTTCTTTTATATTGTTAATTTGAGGATAGTATAGATGAAAAACAGGCTATTTATAAACTACCAGAAATCTAAAATCATGATTTTCAATTAGAAACCAAAACAGCAGGCTTAGATAATTGAGCAGAATTGGAAAAAACCAAACATCCCTTTAAATATCTGGACTATGTCTTCCATGAACAGGGAATCCAGAAAAGTCCACCTTGAGCATCTTATGCAAATGACATAAAAATCTTCAGTGACTATCAAAAGATTATTTTACTCCTGAGGATATAAACTGATATCAGCAGCACTGAAGCTTTTGGAAACTAAAATTCAACCAGATTTAAAATATAAATTTCATTTGGAAATAGACAAAAATGCAACTTGGATTTAGCAAAGAAACAGTGACCCCTACTGGTCATTGTATTATCTGTGAAGATTAAAATGAAGCATTTATCAGAGGCTAAGTATACAGTATTTGAAATACTCAGTACAAACTGCTACAAGTGGTAACTAGCAATTTATTCAAGTGAATAAAATATTTAAAGAAAAAGACATTTCTGTTCAAAAAGCCAATTTAAACACAAGGATAAGAATTTTATGAAACTCAAAAGCAAGTCCTATTGTCCTTAATAGATAACCTGATAAATAAAAATATACTGAAACTTTAAGGCACACTTCAGGAAGCCAACTTAAATATTTTGGGTTTTATTTTTTACATTCAGATGTTGCAAAAGAAAAGGCCTCTAAGAAAAGACATTGCATCTAGCCCAAACCTGCAAGGACAGTCTGCTACTGACATCCACTGGCTGATTGTATTGCTACAGAGCAGTCAAATGCCACACACATTGCTGCAACCATTGGTTTAATAATTATGTTATAACTACTAGGGATATGCTACTTTTGGATCATTTGTTTCATATAATTTTTTTCCTTTGAATGTAGTGTAGTAAGTTAGAAAAATTGTGTCCGAGTTTAAGTGTATTTGTACTAAGCAGTGGGACTCTGGCAAGAAAATCGTTTTCAGCTAGGATACAACAGGGTAATATTTGCTGGAGAAGAGGAAGCTGTGGCATGCATCTCCATACAAAAGGGAACAAGTGGCCTTCAATTGGAGAGCAGCTTCCTATTAAGACTCACTCCTTCGTACATTATGCCTTTCATCCCCACTCAACCACAAAATGATTTTGCTGTTGGATACACAATGGTGGAAAAGATTTACATTGAAAGAATCTTTAATAATAAACTGTTGCAGGTCTGCCTACTTCCCCCACAATTTATAATACAATAAACATTGGATTCTATTAAGTCTCATGCACTGAAGTTGCACTGGAAAAAAAGAATATGAAAGCACTCAATTCTTCCCATCTCCAGTGCCATAATAGTGAAATGAGCATGGATAAATGTGCTAAGAGTATCTCTTTGCATCTTTTATAGCTTGTGTGTATTAATCTGTAAAGCTTATTAAGAAAGTCATTGCTATGCAAAGCAGCACCCAATCTCTTTTACTTGCTTTTCAACAGTGCAGTGTTTAGCCAATAGGACTTGTCCACTGCCCCTCATTCTGCATTCATAACATGCAACATTTGCACAATGTATCTCTCAAAAGACTGCTGAATAAAAGCCTTAATACTCATGTAAACAACTGCAAACCAATTACTTAATGAATCAGGTCCACGCATAATGAGGTGGCAGACAAAGAGCTATAAATGCATTTTTGCACCCAAGCCTCTGCTTTAAAGTAAAATCCCTCAGCTGTAGTTTGGACTTAACTAGCACATCATAATTATTGTCTGTAGGACATCAGTGGAAGCCATTTTTTTAAAAAAAAAATTAGGTCCATCAGGGTATTTCACGAGTCGCTCATCAGCTCAGTGACTAAACACTGGGGGTGGGGGGAGAATTAAACGTACCACAGCGGTACTAGACTGTTGTGTTTATTTTCAAGTACTGGTTTTCAAGACCACTTGTAATAGCACGAAGGTGCAAGAAGTAACAGTAAGTGGAATCTTTAGACATCAGCCTGTAAGAAATTTCTCCGTATCCAAACTGCAAATAAATACCTGAGCCTTATCCCTTCTTTCACAGTTTATTTGTACTTTATTTGTAACATCTTTATAAGATAAGCCTCCAATATAAGATTGAAAATGTTACTTTATTTTCCTTATAGAGAAAATTAAAATGCAAGTGTTTTTAAAAATAACTATTAATTCATGTTATACTGTGCAATTCCCTCCCCCCAATTAGAATAAAAATGTTCCTTGCTTCTTTATGCTAGAGAGCATGCATTATATGAACAGTAATAAGCCCAAGAAACTGCTTGTTCATATTATAATTCAAAGCATGTTTCCATAACATTTTTTAAAATATTGATAGTGTTCACAATATGCTTATTCTTTTTATATAGCAAACAGTATTTAAAAAGACTTCTTTGGATTCCTTCAAATAGCAATAACTTATGAAATGAAAATGTAAGCAATATATTTTAACAAATTAACTTTAGAAAGTATTATTCTCCAACTTCAGTTCCTGAAAATCAGAACAGAAAATAATTGCACTGTACAGTGTATAAAGTGCATTACTATTTCTTTTATAGGCTGCTGAATTAATCTTATTCCATGACTACATAGTACCAATTTTACATTAATTATATAGTTAAAAGTAAAATAAATGTTATAAATGTTACTAAGCAGGGACAGGGATATTGTATAACATAATCAAAAAGATCAGACAATACAAATGAGACTTTCAAACACAGATCAGCACAATCAGGCTACAGAAGTGTGTTGACAATTATTATGTAACAATCTAAAGCCAATTTAAAATTCCAGAATTATTTACTATGCTTCATTTACGTATACCTCTTGATTGCTAGCAATTTGAATCATGCTGCTGATAGGGGGGAAAAAATCGTCCAAAGAACAAGTGGGGGGGAGGCAGTAGATAAATTGCATCTCTTTAGGAAAAACAAGGGCATTAATTAAATGCTCTCAATTTGAAATTAAAAAACAACAACCCACCACATAATCTAGCATTTTAGTGAATACAAGAACTGAAGTTTATTTACATCTCAACTCCATCCAGGAGATGACACACCATTTTATTTCTTGAAGACTTTATGTTTTACGTCTGCCCTTTTCTTGACAACTTCTATTGTCTAGTCTTTAAGTAGTCCTACTGAGAGCAGCTGTACATGCTAATCTGTGGTTCACTGAGATGTCAATGGAGTCTTAAATTAAAAGAACAACAGCTGCAAAAGAATACCTGGCTTTAGTACAAATATTTTCTAAGGTGTTCTTCTTTAATGTTATTGTTTTAGAAACATGAATCTGAACTGTAGCCCAAAGATCAAAATATTGTTGTCAGGATTCCATGAAATTCCCAGAGGCATTTCTTAGAAATAGTTGAAACAATTCACTAATGAAATACTTTAATGATTTTACCTTGACAAAGAGCTTTTCCTCTCCAGAGATGAAAAACTGGGCTCAGAACTGGTTCCATTACTTTTTTGTTCCTTTAAGCCACTGATGTTCAAACCTGAAAGATAAAAACCAAGCGCTTCATTAATTGTTGGCTAAAATAAATGAGAAAGTATAACTTCTGGTCTGAAGAAACCATAATAATAGATGGCGTATAGCAAAAACAGTTTAAAAATACATTTAGATTTTACAGTGTGTAAACATAGTTTAAACTATAAACATAGTTCCTTTTAGTACATCTAGGCAATTTAATGGTTCCCTACAAATAATGTCCCTATATTTTCCACTACTACCGGTACTATTTATACTGTATTAGAATAATATATAATGATAGACAGTAAGGCGGAAGTTTTAAGAGTGTTTTTATAAGAGCTTATTTTCTTGTTAACAAAGTATTATAACATTGTGTTTTTTAAAAAATAATAATTTTTCATCCTTGAGCTTTTCCTAGAATTTATTTTTCTTTATATTAATGTTTGATACTTATTTTCAGATACAGATACAGTCTTAAATCTAGATTGATAGTAAGGCATTAGAAAACATTTGTGGTAATTTAAAACCCAGCATTGGTCGGGCTGAAATAAACAAATATTTATTACTATATACATAATAGTAGAAAACAAATCACAAATATTAAATAAACAGGAACCTAAATAGAGAACATAATGTTATAATATATGTCTTCTAAATAGAGGACATAATATTATAATTTGGTTTATCATTATACATTGTCATGTCCTTAAACATTATGTCATATGCTGACAGTGAGAAGACATAAAGATTGCAAGACCAAAGAAGTTAGCAACCAAATTCCATTCATACCACTATGTATTATTACTATTAATTAATTAAATTAATACTATACTTATATTATATAGTAATATTATATATTAAACTAGAAGGTAAAAATTGCAAAATAGTTTATAATTCACAAAAACATCTTTATTTTGGCCCTGATTTATATAAAACCTTTGGATAAATTTTTGGATTAAAGAAATTTATAACTAAAACTGTTGTTCTAAAATATGTTTGCTTTATGCCTGTCATTATAATACATGATAGGCATATGTTTCACAAAATACATTGGAGATTGTGATGGAATAAATATATTTGTTGAAGTTTTCCTATTTATTGTAATCTGCCATAATAATACAAGTAGCGCTGGTATTTCTTTTAAATCGTCTGCTGGTATTTCTTTTAAATCGTCTACCCACTGAGACAGCTGCCAATATAGTTTTCCCTCAGTTTGCCAAACCCTGCAATATGATTTCATCTGCATATTCGGCACTGAATTGCCAAATATACTGAACCAGATTGAGTTTTGAAATTCAAAATGGAATATTGCTTTTCTTCAATGTAGTTTCCCCCCACCTCCCATGAGTTTTAGTTGCTTAACATACATGAATTCTTTGTGAAGTTTCTATAATACACTCCGGAGTGGTACCTGAAGTTTTGCTGAGCATATGTTGTATGTACCCTGACATATATGTTGGATGTGATTGAAATTGAAACAGTTTTAAGTCTCAAATTAGTTTTATGATTACAAGACAGAAAGGACACTTTAAATGTTTTCACTGTTCCATGAAGATAGTTTCAACAATCCCTTAAAGAATTCAAAGATATTTTTTTACATTTTGATTTCTGTGAATAAATAAATCCTAATACTAATTGTATGTCATTTTATTGGATAAGGTACATTTTTGTCTAATTCTCTCACCATACACCAAAATTAATAATTCTTTGATTGCCAACAGCAGAATATAAATATATAAATAATATAAATCTAGTTCAATAATCCAATTTCAGCCCATCATAGATATATTACAATAACTTTCTAATTATCCTTAAAAGTTTCATATACAAATATGTTGTAAAACTTCTTTCCTTTCACTATATTACATGCAATTAGTAGCACAGTTAATTTTAAAAAGTCATTAAAATTAAATAATACAAAATGAATTTTTATTTTAAATGGTAAAAGTTTATCAAATTTTTGCTTATGCCAGAAGGGTGAGTCAAGAAAGCAAACAACTAATAATTTAAAAGTTGATGAGTCAAAATGAAAAAAAAAGCTCAATGAATAAATACTCCTTTATTATATTTCTTAGACTTTTCACAATGCAGGCATTTAAGCTAAGATTCAAATCAGATTCTAGCTTTAAGGCATATTGGAAAGCTGAAGGTGCTTAGATAACCAGAAAATAGAATATTCAGAGAGGAAAGAAAAGAGTACGAATTTACAAAAATATCTCCTCTGATTTACAGGAAAAATGACTTCTCATAGGTTTGTGACTAAAATCAGCCATTGCTTCCATGTCTCCAGGCAGATAGACCTTGCAATTAAAATTAGAGGTGAGCACACATTTTTATGGGCAAAGATACTGGGTGACATACTTGCATGGCAGGGAAGATACCATTGGGTAGACAATTTCTCTGAACTTCTCAACAGATAGATACATGTCCAACTATTTCCTGGGGGAAAGATTCTACCGTAATAATGATAGTACCAATGCTACTTAAATATTTTTTTCCATATAATTTCCCATCCTGAAATACGGGAAGCCAGGAAGGTGTGGAATGCTAAAAAGGATGGTTATATAATAAATGATACAGGAATTGCCCCCCGACCCATATAGGCTATCTTTTAACAAGTTCCAACCATGAGCAAATTCTCTTTCATAAAACAAAATGAGAATTAATAGTAACAAATGCAAATTATTTTTTCTGCTAGGCAATAATTATTAGGACTACACAGCACTTCAGAGTCATTAAAAATAATGCTTGGAGCCTGTAACACCTGTATGCAATTTAAAACCAAACCAATAAATTAAAAAAGATGAATTTAAGAAGTTTAAAATTCGATTTGATCTGAACTTCTTAAAACACTTAAATTTATCTTTTTTTCAAGATCACGAAACAGCTTGAAGAAGCTGCAGACAGACACTATATACCTGTACTAAACTAAGAAAGGAAACTCTCCAAACAACATGGAATTCAATGGGTGAAAGACATTAATTACTGTATATATAATCTGCTTTAAATGTTTCTCTTGTATGCTTTCTCAGATTGGCTTAACTATGAGGAGAGTTTAGAATGAGTTGTGATGTACAAGACTCCTGTCCAGTTGAAGAGTTTTGAAGATTATCTATTAAGTAACATACATTTTACCATGGGTAAAGTTAAAAACCAACATATTTAGATAGTGTGTTACATATATTATTCTAAGCCATGTATTTGGTAAATACAGTCTCTAGTCTAGAACATGGAATTACCAAGGATCAGGCACAAACTGAATGGATAACATTGTCATCAAAACACGGAGACAGAACGTACAAGAGATAAAAATCTCCACCAGAAATGAAAGCAAACAATAAAGAAAGAATTTAATAAAAACAATAATGGCACAATTCAGCCAGAAAACATTATTGTCTATTACCAATTTTTATAAGGACAGCCAATTATTAGTATTGAGAATAATAATTTGGATTGAATACTGCTTCACACTTACTATTTTCTTAGATAAGATTCTGCCCACTATTTTTCTAGAGTACAGATAACTAGATCAAAAATGTTACTCGGAGATTGAAAGAAGAGCTATAAACCTATTTAAGCATGACTTTCAAATAAATATTTATTGTGGCTATAACTGCAGTTTAAAAATCCCAGCCTTTGCATGGTTTGTACAACTTTATTCTCCTTATATCTCTACTGTTTTTCTGCTAAATGTAATCTTTTTTCCTAAGATTACATGGTTCTGTTCCACAATTCAAAACTGAACCAGGAAAACATCTACTTTGTTTTTAAAAATGTAAATGGATGCTAAATGAACACAAGCATCTGCTCAGTTGCACTTGTTTTTGTCTTCAATATGCTACACAGGCCAAAGCATAAAGAATTTGCTGTCAGTTTATTAGTACACCTGAGGGCAGCTTTATAAAACTACCACTTTAATCCTGAAGCTTTTTGGCTAAGATCAAGTATAGTGTACCTTTAGAGAGACAATGAAAGGTCTCAGACTAAATCAGACAAGTAAATAAATTAAGGTGTGTGTGTGTGTGTGTGTGTGTAGATTTTAGCTCACTCAACAACTTTTATCAGATGCATAGTTGAGTTTTCACAGCTCTATCTGAAGATGCAACGTGGCTCCACGAGACTAAACTGTATTTGACTTGGAGCTATTGTGCCTTCTTGCCTAAAACAAATTGGATTATCTCTCCCTTCACCATTAAAGTTGTTGCTATTTTATGCAGTTCTCCTCTTTGGCAGTTGGTCTACTGCTTTTTATATTTCATTATTCAAAAATATTCATTTTATCATTATACTGATCTTATATTTTAACTGCATATTCTCTATAACAAACCTTCTTGGCACACTTACTCTATTTGATTTTTTTGCTTTAGCCAATACACAACTGTTCCACAATCTGTAATGCCCTGGCTGACTAAATTTTACTTTTCCATCTTTTATTTCCTATTACATTCCTGATGTTACGACCAAGATCTTTCAAGCTGCATACATTCTGCTTGAAGCCAGAGATACTGGCAATAAAAAAATGTTTTTTCTTAACTATTCAATCCATGTTTTCCCAGTAGTAGTGTACAAAAGTATGGTCTTTCTAATACTCTTCAATTTGCTTATTCATCCAAAGTGGTGTCAGCACCTCAAGATAGACCAGATTAGAAAACAAATTTCTACGGGAAGACTACTCCAGGCAGTCTTCAACTTACGACCACAATTGAGCCCCAAGCTTATATTGCTAAGTGAGAAATTTGTTAGGTGAGCTTTGTCCCATTTTACAACTTTTCTTGCCACATTTGTAAAGTGAATAAATGTAATATCACACTTGTTAAATGAATCTGGTTTCCCCATTGACTTTGCTTGTCAGAAGGCTGCAAAAGGGGATCACATGACCACGGAACACTGCAACCATCATAAATGTGAGTCAACTGTCAAGCATCCGAATGTAAATCATGCGACCATGGGGATGCTGCCATGGTCATAAGTGTGAAAAATGGTCATCAATCACTTTTTTTACTGCCATTGTAACTTCTAACGGTC